CATTATCAAGACGAATAGACTTAATCTAATTATCAGAAAAACTATGCCCTTAATCTTATTATTTGTGTCAACAATTTTGCAAATTCCAAGTTACGAGATGACAATAAGCACACATTAGACCATATAGAAGCAGCATCTATTAGGACCATAAAGTATCTAAACGATCCACTAGGTGGGTGAATAGGTCCACAAATATCCCCATGTGTACGTTCCAAGAACGCAGGGGACTCAATCTCAACTTTTGTTGGTAATGGTCTCACAATTAACTTGCCTTGATAACAAGCAGTACAAGAAAATCCACCATTTAAAAGAATTTTTAGGTCCTTTAATGGATGTCCATTTGAATTTTCTATAATTCATCTCATCATTATAGACCCAGGATATGTGTACGTTCCAAGAACGCAGGGGACTCAATCTCAACTTTTGTTGGTAATGGTCTCACAATTAACTTGCCTTGATAACAAGCAGTACAAGAAAATCCACCATTTAAAAGAATTTTTAGGTCCTTTAATGAATGTCCATTGAACTTTCTATAATTCGTCTCATCATTATAGAACTAGGATGTCCCAGACGATCATGCCAGAGTACAAAAGTATTGTAATCAGTAAGTAAATTTCGTATTTACTATAGAATGTGGCTTAATTGCACTAATTCTTATCCAATACAAGTCGAAAGATAACGCAGAGAACTTTTCTATAACACATGTCTGCCTAGAGACATTCTTGGTGATACCAAGATATTCAAGATTTATTTCATCCATTGATTGGATATGATAACTATTTTCACGGATATCTTTAAAACTCAACAAGTTTCTCCGAGACTTGAGAGAAAACATAGCATTATTTATAATGAGTTTAGCTCCCTTAGGCAAAATTACAATGACTCTTCCAAAGCCCCCAATCATATTAGTACTACCAAAAATTGTAATAACATTTATTTTGTCCATACTTAAATGAGAAAAATATTTCTCATTTTTGATTATCGTATGTGTTATACCAGAATCAATCAAGAAAATGTCTTCATAATTAGATAACATGCTTAGAGAATTGTCCATATCTTCAAATAAAATGAAATAAATATCTATTAAGCCTTTATTACAAAGTAAAAGTAAGATAGTATAATAAATTGTTAACTATCTTCTACCATGTAATTAATAAAGTAATGAACACATGCACATAGTATACCAATGCATTTTTTTTGTGCTTATACAAAGCTGTTGTGTTACGTTAGTTGATATTTTTGCAAGTAAGAAAAAACACATTAACTAGTGTACAATAATTAAATAGATATTCAATAACTTTTCAGTACACTAATTTTGATATACTTAATATACTCAAAAAGTTCAACAATCATTCGTAGAGAAAAAATAAAAATATACAAAACCTATTAGAATACAAAATAATAGTAATTGTATTATTTATTCACTAGACCAATTTAAGTCCTAATTTAATATAAACAGATAATAGAGTTTAGTATACAAAACCTATTAAAATACAAACTAATAACAATGGTATTATTTTTTCACTAGACCAATTTAAGTCCTAATTTAATATTAACACATAATAGGGTTAAGTGTTTGACCTAACAAAAAAATACATTCCTCCATAAAATTTTCAAATATAAAATCAGCTCAAATATTCGAGATTAAAATACAGATAAAATGTACATGTAATCAATGACATTAATAAAATGCAATTTTTTCCAGTAAACAAATAAAATATAAAAAATATTATTTAACTAAATCAAATTCAAATTCAATTCAATAATTAATTACGAAACTAATTCATAATAACTAAAAAAGAAAAACTAGCACTCATGTAAACAACTATCATCACAAGGAATTTATTAGTAACTACTACCATTATATAAAAAATTCACTCTCCCATGTTCACAGAACCATCACCAATTAAGTGATCTATCTTTCCTTCAGGATGTGTGAATAGATCTATTACATCTAAGTGTGTGATGTCAACTTGATTTTCAGAGACAAAATTCTCTTCATGAATTTTCTCTTTCTTCTTTAGCGATTCTTGATCAAGCTCAACCAAGTGTTTGGGAGTACGACAATTACGTGCATAATGTCCTATTCCACCACATCGAAAACAACCTGCCCTAGTTGTTTCACGCTTCTCATCATTTTTTTCCTTTTTATGGTGATTTTTATTTGATGAATGATTAACACTAGAAAAATAATTTTGTTCTTGACCAAAATCACGATCACGTCCACGTCCACGACTAGGATCGCGACGTTTTCCACGCCTAGCATGATGGGCGTACGCCTAATTCACTTCAGGAAGTGGTTCAGATTCAGTAGGCCGATTCTCATGATTTTTCATTAATAAATCATTATTTTACTCAACCACGAGAAGATGAGAAATTAGTTTAGAATACTTTTTGAAACCTTTCTCTCAATATTTTTGCTGCAGAAGCACATTCGAGGCATGAAAAGTGAAGAACGTATTTTCCATCATATCAATTTCACTAACCATTTCTCCACATAGTTTCAACAGAGAAGTGATGTTGAACATGAAAGAATTATACTCATGTATAGACTTAAAGTCTTGTAGTCTTAGGTGTCTTGGATGTATGACCATCTTCAAGTGGTCATATCTTTCTTTTAAGCTACTCCACAAAATAAGTGGATCCTTAACTGTGAGATATTCGATTTTTAGAATCTCGTCAAGATGATGACGCAAAATATCATTATCCGCGCACAATTTTGCTTTGATGCTTTATTTTCTTCTTTTATGGTGTCTCCAAGACCCATTGCATCAATGTAGATTTAGCATCCAACACCCATGAAAGTTAATTCTCGCCCAAACTATGAAGGGTAACGAACTCTAGTTTCGTCAGATTGACCATTAAAATTAAAAGCAAAAGAATAAATAATACCTTATTAATTCTTCAAACTTCAGCTTCATTTTTTAAGACGTAGAGTCTCGTGCTGATGACGTGTTATGAAGCTATAAAATAATAAGAAGAAGAAAGTAGAGAGAAGAGTTATTATTTCTGTTGAGGTGTGATTTTACAATGAAGAGGACCCCTCTATTTACAGGGGGAAATTGACTTGGTCCCAAAGTTAGTGTAACACATTGGTCTTAGAAAGAGCTATTTTTAGAAAGAACTAAATTGGACAGAGCTAATTTGAGATTTGTGCAAGTTAGACTTCAATTGTGAGTTTTGGGTAAACTTCAAACGACCAAAACTTTCAGTACATAATGCGTTAGGTGGCCCATAAAGTATCAAATGAAGGTCTTTGAATCCTCTTTCCAACGCCACTGAGTTTTCTAAATTCTGAATCCGAATGAGGGAGATATGCCCGTTTGAGTTCAGCATGTCCGATTAAGGAAAGTTCATCCGAATTAAAGATGAGTATTTTGGTCTTTTCCTTACCCAATTGGCTTTAAAAGTTTTTAGTAATATTTTAGGGGTCTAAACTGACTTAGATCAATTTTCACAATTCCTAAACACGCTTAGGGTTTTAGAGAGAAGTTCAAGACGAGAGAAAAGAGAAAGTTCAAGTGTTCGTTCAAGATTCTTGCGATCTTCGAGGGATTTCGCCAAGGATTTGATCCTAACGAGGTATGCAAGCTTTGATGGTGATGGGTTCGTTCACCCTCACACCAATCATGAGTTTCTTGAGTTATTTTCGTCCATGATAATCCATGTGTTGAGGTTCTTGATGAGTTTCTTGAAGTTTCGTTCTTAGATCTTTAGTAATGGGATTTGATGAGTTCTTGAGGAGGTTGTTATGAGTTTGAGAGTTGTTTTTGAGTAGATTTTAGTTTACTTATGTTGGATATTCAAATCTAAGGGACTTTAGAAATCAATCGATTCTAGGAGAATTAGGACCAAAAATCAAGAAGAAAAATTCGTCGAAACATTCTGGGAATGGGCTTGGGCGGCGCCCCAGATGTGCTAGGAGGGCTGGATCCCTGCGCCTGCAGTGCGCCACAAACCAGCCCTAGTAAATGGAGGGCTGGTGCGGCGTGCAAGGGATGCGCCAGAAGCGCTAACCCATTTTCTCTTCCATTCTTCGATTCATACTTATTCCTTTGAGTCGAACTTTCATTCCTTTCTTAATCCTAACTATTTAAACCTTCATAAATCACCGATAGATCTTATATATAATCAATCATAACTCTTGCATTCACTTTTCAAATTCAAGAAAAGATTAAGAGTCAAGTTCGAGAGAGTCTTTCAAGTCATTTTGAGAAGTCTTTTACAAACTTTTAAAACTTGTTTTAAGACTTGAGTACTTGAGTATGAGGATGAGGAGAGTTGAGTTTCATTTTTTTAAAATGAATATATGGGAACTAAGTATTCCCAAGAGTAAATGTTTTTACATTTAAAATGAGAGGAAACATTGATTTCCAAATGAGTTCATGAGGAATTTTGAGTATAATCTCTTTTAAGAGAATCTTTTGAGTAATAATCTCAAAGTTTGAGGATAAGGAAATGTTTTTAAACATATGAGCATGAGTTTTATTATTGAGAGTAGTATTGAGCACCGATATGGGGACGAGTTCAGACAACTCAAAGTCCTCATAAACCATGTATGCCAATGTGGGTAGAAAATGTCATACTTTTTAGATGATTCCTTATTGTTTTTTAAGCATAACTTAGTGGATTCACTTAGTTGAGAATGTCTTATACTCCGACAAGGTATATGACAATTCTGACAGCGTGGGCGACGTTGTATCATCACATAGCTCATAGTGATGGTTGTGTGTTAGAGAATCTCCCAAATAAGACTACAAGAACTTATACTTTTAACAACCAATTCTTAACGATGGGACATAAATCCAGTCGTTATAAGTGTACAATTAGTGGCCAATTATTTTCTAGTCGCTAAAACTAAATTTTAATTCAATATTAATGATGGAATTATATCCAGCCCTTAAAGAGTATAATTTCCGGTCGTTAAAATTAAATAAAAGGAAAAAGTGCTACAAATTAGTTCCTTCATTTTCCCCAACGCACCCTCTGCCCCCATCCCCACCCCCACGTCCCCACCCAAAAAATCCTCATTAATCTCTCTCTGTTTTGCAAACTTAATTCTTATTCAATTTGAAGGATAAAAATAACTGCTCTAAAACAACAACTCTACTTGTCATCTCCGATTGAAAAAATGATGAATTTTAATAGTTTCTTCTCATCAAGGTAAGTTTCTTTTGTTGTTCAATGATGTTCTTCTGGATTTGATTATTCACTTTTCATCATAACCTAGTATTGTTTGTCAGTATTTGGATGTTCATCATAGACTTAATTGTTTGCCAAATATATACAAGCATAATTTTTTTGTGGTTCGATTGATGTTGAATTCAACTTGAATTTGTTTAGAGTTTTCTTTTTATATTGGGTTGAACAATATCTAGTTTATTTAGGAGACACTAGAGGGGCGGTGCTAGGGTACCGAAAGGGGTTTATCCGAATCCCCTTTGTCGAAAAATTAGATCGTCTTATTTATATAGTAGAGGTTGAACCCTTGACTTCTTAGTATGATTTCTTCTTTAAATTTTAAATCACTTAGTGAAAATTTCGGGTTCACTACCATATCATCATCTAAACAATAGCTATTTAATGTTTTTGCCAAAGAAATCTCAAATTGGGTTCCATTGTTGCTGTTAAATCCTATGTTGAACCAGATTGATGTGTAAAACACGTCAAACATGTCACTTAAAGCTATCCTAATCTTTAACTATGTGATGACCATTGCAATGCCATCATACATTAAGTCCTAAGAATTTTAAGACTTAATTGATATGTAATCTGAAGAAAAATGTGAGTTGTCAATGGGCATATCTTGTGACTCTTTACTTTCTATTGGGATCATCAGCACAAATGTGCGAATTGAATCTACTATATTTGGGGCAAGGGAGTATCCAAAGAAGCAATCAAACTGGGTTGATACATCTAGTTTAGCTTAAGAACCAGAGGAAACTTCTACCTTAACCTTTTGTAGCGGTTAAGGTTCCAGATTTTGCAATTTTGGAACATGTTTGAATTGTGTTTATGCGAATGAAAATGTGTGAAGTTCCATTTGAATAGGAAGCGGCAAAGCCGTTGGTAATCAAAGAATTGGATGTGGCACCTCCAAAGAAATATGAAGTCTGCCTCAAGATTCTTTTCACCTCCTTGTGGCACACTGATGTTTACTTCTGGGAAGCTAAGGTATTGTCTTAAAGCATCCTCTTTGACAGATTTGTAATTTAATCAATTGGCGACACTTTTGGGAATGTATCTCAACAATTTTTCGTATTTTTAGATCATTATATGGAAATTTTTCACAATGACAGTGCTAGTCAAACTGTAAGAATTGTGAAATACTATAGTCATTAGTGTGGTTCCATGTGATTCTTCATTTTAGGGTGTTGGAAGAAAATTATATGAGGATCGATGATTTCTATCTAAGTTGCGCGGACTCTTCACTTTCGATGCCTCACCCGTGTCGGGTTCTCCAAAAATACACTACTTTTGGCAAATCCGACACGCACCCCTTGACATTTTTGAAGAGTCCGAGCAACTGAGATCCTAATTATTATATAGTTACCTAATCTCTGTGTACTTTGAGTTCTTAATTTTTCATTTTCTGTGTTGATCATGCTTATGGGTTAGAATTGCAAAGGATTCTGTTTAATAGGTAGAAAGTTCGGTGGAATGATTACAAATAACCAGATACTTATTAGAATGTATAACCTTGTACTTATGGTTAACTATGTGATCCAAATAGAATTGTTTCTATACCTACATACTTCCAGTTAGGTAGATTCATGTGTGCTTTTGATTCGCCGTGTTACTAATACCTCTTATCGCGATCATGGTGATTCCTCGAATGAAATATTTTAATGTTCATGTCTTGAAACAATGTTTCATCTTAACCCTTTGCATATTTTTTAAAGGGATAAGGGTCTGAAAAATACCCCAACTTTGATCGAATTTGTTGTTGCGATACTAAACTTTTATGAGGACCCTATTTTCCTCCCTAGACTATTTAATACCGTATTTTAAACATATATATTTGCCCACGTGGACATAAAAAATAATGCAAAATTATAAATAGTAATGTGTCCACGTGGGCATATATATACATTTAAAATACACTAATAAATAGTTCAGGGGGTAAAAAGTATGGTATTAAATAGTCTAGGGAGGTAATAGGTCCTTATGAAAGTTTAGTATCGCAACAGCAAATCCGATCAAAGTTGAGGTATTTTTCAGACTCTTGTCCCTTTTTTAAAACTAAAAACTTTCTTCAAATCATTCTTTATATTTATTTATGTAGAAATTTATCAAGAGACAATGTGGAAATTTTCTCATGTTCCATTACTGTACCATCATTCAAGTATATATACAAGTATTATAATAAGAAAATAAATAATGTTAAAATTCTATCCTACTTGTAATATTCCTATTGGCTATGTACAATTTTCCTAACAAACTTTATTCCTTGTCTATGCCAAGCTTGTGCTTGTCACGTGCTTTGTAAGGAAACTTCCTGAAGTCACTGATGTGGACGACACAGATCTTTTCTTTGACTAAATCAGTATTAAGGGCCTGATCTGTGCCACGTTTCTGCTGACTATTCCAAGGCTTAAAACACTTTGCATTCTTCAAAGTGCCTTTTGTCTCATTGTCTGAACAACTCTTCTTTCTCTCTGAATATGTCTTCACCATTGATGAATGTGAGTTCAAGGTCTGTGTATTCTTAACATCCCCCCTGAAGATGGAGGGGAGCAAAGTGATACCATCTTGCGAAGAAGATGATGGTGAGAAGGCGCGGACAAAGGCTTTGTGAGAATGTCGGCTGGTTGATCTTTGGAGGGAACAAAGGAGAGAGAAATGAGGCCATAGAGATATTGTTGTCGAACAAAGTGACAGTCAAGCTCTACGTGTTTCGTTCTTTCATGGAAAACTGGATTCCGAGCAATGTGCATCGCCGCTTGGCTGTAGGAATACACTGGCATCGACAATGATGGTGAAATAGACATATCTGCCAGGAGACGAGTCAACCAGGTCAGTTCTGCGACCAATCTCCTCATCGATCTATATTCTGCTTCGGCGGAGGAAAGAGACACTGATGCTTGTTTCTTCGATTTCTAAGAGATGGGAGATCCACCCATACTGATGAAGAAACCACTGACGGAACGTCGTGAATCCTTGCAGGAGGCCTAATCGGCATCGCAAAATGCAGAAATGGAGAATGAAGGAGAAGCAGACAAGAAAATCCCTTGAGTAGGACTACTTTGAAGGTAACGAAGCACCCTTAATCCAGCAGTGAAATGAAGATTGCAAGGCCTCTGTATAAATTGACTTAAAGTCAAAACAACAAAGCATAGATCTAGCCTTGTATGAGTTAAATAATTCAACTTTCCAATGAGATGTCTATAAATGGTAGGATCTAACAAGTAGTCATCTGAATCTGCAGACAACTTACAGGAGGGATCCATGGGAGAGGAAACATGCGACAGATGAGAGACATCAAACTCTTGGAGCAAATCCAAGGTATATTTTCGTTGACTCACAATAATTCCATGATCTTCTCTCAGAATTTCCATGCCGAGGAAATAGTGAATAGGACCAAGATCTTTAATTTTAAACTCAGTATGAAGAAATGATTTAAGGGATTGGATTTCTGCATCATCATCACCTGTAATCTGTATGTCATCCACATACACTGCCACTATGGAAACTAGATCACCATTTCTTTTAAAAAATAAGGAGTAGTCGTTTAAGGATGCAGTGAAACCTTTGAAACTTAATGCCCTAGCAAGCCTAGCATACCATTGCCTAGAGGCTTGCTTCAAACCATAAAGGGACCTTTTGAGTTTACAAACCAAATTAGGCTGTGGTGAAGACAGACCAGCTGGAAACTTCATATATACTTCTTCTTGCAAATCACCTTGTAAGAAGGCATTGTTCACATCAAATTGGGACACTACCCAATTCTTTTTAGCTGCAATAGAAAGCAAACACCTGACAGGGGTCATCTTGACCACGGGGGAAAAAGTTTCATTGAAATCTATTCCCTCATTTTGAATAGCACCTCTAATGACCAATCGTGCCTTTAGCCTTTCTAGAGAACCATCTGCATGATGTTTAATCTTGTAAACCCACTTACAAGGAAGTGCTTTTCTACCAAGAGGAAGACAAACTACATCCCAAGTATGGTTGGATTCTAAGGCTGCAAGTTCTTCTTGCATGGCCTTGACCCAACCAGGATGAGTAGAGGCTTGAACATAACTAGTAGGTTCTGTGATGTCTGAGACTAATTGGAGAGTGACTTGATTAGGTAGAGAAAGACCAGCAAAGGAAAGGACAGTAGGTTGAGGAGGTGTAGTAAAACATGAATCAGTTACAGAACTAAGAAATATGGTGTTGCAAAAATAGTCCTTTAGATGACTGGGCATGGTACCTTTGTTGGATCTGGTTGACCTTCTGATATTAGGATGAGCAGGAGGTTGAGAGGTTGATGTCACATGTGTAGGTGTAGGAGTGGAAGGGGAATTAGGATTAGAACAAACAACATGATCTGACTGAGAAGATGAGGTTGTGTTGAAACTGGAATCTGTAGGTGCAAGGAAATCAGAATCATTATACACCTCATTAACAACAGTTGGAATAGGAAAAATGTGGGATGGTTGATCTGCAGGATCCATTGAAAAGGGAAAAATTTCTTCATCGAAAGAGACATTCCTAGATACAAACACTTTCTTGCTTGTGAGGTCTAACTTGTACCCTTTTTGGTCACTGGGATAACCTAGAAACACATATGCTTTTGCCCTTGGTTCAAATTTTGTCCTGCCATGAGCTAAAGTGTTGGCATAACACAAGCATCCAAAACATTTCAGATGTTGATAAGAAGGTGATTTCTCATACAAAATATCATAAGGAGTAGCACCCTGCAAGACTCTAGAAGGCAATCTGTTGATAAAAAATGTGGCAGTGAGAACACACTCTCTCCAGTAAACCATAGGAACATGAGATTGAAACAAGAGAGCTCGAGCAATCTCAAAAAGATGTCTATGCTTCCTCTTAACTACACCATTTTGTTGAGGAGTGGCAACACATGAAGTTTGATGGATTACACCTTGAGATTGGGAAGTAAGTAGTGGCTAATTATACTCTTTCCCCAAATTCCAGAGCATTATCTGACCTTATCACTTTCACCTTAGTGTTGAACTGCCTTTCTACCATCTGTAAGAAGCATTTCAAAACTGAAAATGCATTGCTCTTAGTTGTCAACAGATATGTCCAAACACCTCTACTATAATCATCCACTATGGTGAGAAAATACCTATAGTTATTATAGGTGGGTACTTTATAAGGTCCCATGTGTCAATGTGAATAAGGTCAAATTTGGCCTTAGTAGATTAAGGACTTATAATAAAAGGCAATCTAGATTGTCTTGCTTTAGGACATATATCACAAAAACAATCAAGATTAGTCTAAATATAGATAGAACTGAGATGTTTCATTGATGAGAAAGGCAAATGCCCCAATCTAATGTGCCAAAGTTTTACATTAGAAACAACACTACTACATATAGAAGAAACTCCACTAGGGACAGACTCAGACATACTAGAAACATTAAAAGGAAAGAAACTAGAACTAGGAACATCTCTTGACATAATTGGCACTTCTTTGGTAGGATTGAAACTAGACTCTTTTACATTGGGCTGGAGTAGATAGAGTCCTTCCTTAGCTTCACCAAAAACTTGAGGCCTCCTCATTAAAGGGCCCTGCATAACACACTCATTTGATGTAAAGAACAAGATAGAATGAAATTGTCGACAAAATCTATTTACAGACATGAGATTGAATTTGAAACTTGGGACATATAAAACATTTTCTATAGCAACATCTGAGAATAAAGAGACTGTTCCTATATGATTGACTTGAATGGTATGACAATTAGGAAGATTAATAATCAAAGGGACTTTAAGAAGACACATAAAAGTGAAGCAACTTGAATTATAGCACATATGTTCTGATGCATCTGAGTCTACTATCCTATTAGAATTTAAAACTGAAAAACATAAGCCAATGTATTTCAAGATTGTACCAGCCACTGCATTTGCATTAATTGCATGTCCTCCACTTGTGTCTGCAGACTCTTCCATCTTCATTTGTTTAAACATGTGAATAGATTGATTGTATTGCTCTTTACTGTACCCTTGATTGAGTGTAGCATTGCCACTACAGTTGTTGTGTTTTCCTTCAAAGTCCTCCATAGACACTGCTGCATTTCCTCTAATTTGTCCTTGAGAGCCTTTGTTATTTGTGAATTGAAAATCATCAGGATACCCTATCAATCTGTAACAGTTGATTTCTTCATGTCCTTGTTTTCCACAGTAATCACATGACACATTAGGGTTATATTTCATTCTCCTTCCTTTAAGCTTTTGATTTTGAAACCTCTGTGACTGTTGAGGTTATGCAGATTTGGGGAATTGATTTCCAGATTTCTGATTAGCATCATTAGTCCTTTGAACCTGCTTTCCACCTCTATATTGGTTTCTATTCCCAGTCATGAAACCTCCAGTTCCAGCCATAAAAGCACTGGAATCAGAAGGAATGAGAGGATTCATATAGCTTTCCCTTTGATGTTCATCCTGTAAAATCAAGGAGTATGCAAGGTTAATGTTAGGCAAGGGGTTAATCATCAAAATATTACCTCTGGCATGTGAATATGTGTCGTTTAATCCCATAAGGAATTTGATGAGCCTTTCATATTGCAAAGACTTCTCCAGCTTCTGTTTTCCCTCACAAACACACACACAACCACACTTAATGTTTGAGTTTAGGGAATCCAACTCATCCCATAACCTTTTTAGTTGTGTGAAATAGCCTGCAATGTTGTTATTTCCTTGTGTTAACCTGCTGAGTTCTTGTTGTAGGTGAAATAGCTTTGCTCCATTGGATTGACCAAACCGCTGCTCCAAACTTATCCAGAGATCCCTAGCAATTTTTGAGTAGATGACACTATCTGCAATCTCCTTTGACAGTGAATTCAAAAGCCAAGATGTAACCATGTCATTACATCTGCTCCAGACTTGTAGATCTGGAGAATCACTAGATGGTGCTGCTGCAGATCCACTGATGAAACCCAACTTATTTTTGGCTGAAAGAGCAATGAAAACAGATCTCTTCCACCCTTGATAACCCTTTCCATCGAAATGAGTGTTGATGAGTGTCATACCTGGTGAATCTGATGGATGAAGGTGATAAGGATGATTGGAATCAATGGATGTTGATGTTGAGCTGCCTGCAACAGTTGTTATAGCAGCAAGTGTTGTCGATGGATCACCCATTGCTCAAACGAGAAAAGAACAGATTTTGAATAAATCTGGAAGGATTTTGATCACTGCTTTGATACCATGTAGAAATTTATCAAGAAACAATGTGGAAATTTTCTCGTGTTACATTACTGTTCCATCATTCAAGTATATATACAAGTATTATAATAAGAAAATAAATAATGTTAAAATTCTATCCTACTTGTAATATTCCTATTGGCTATGCACAATTTTCCTAACAAACTTTACTCCTTGTCTATGCCAAGCTTGTGCTTGTCACGTGCTTTGTAAGGAAACTTCCTGAAGTCACTGATGTGGACGACACAGATCTTTTCTTTGACTAAATCAGTATTAAGGGCTTGATCTGTGCTACGTTGCTGCTGACTATTCCAAGGCTTAAAACACTTTGCATTCTTCAAAGTGCCTTTTGTCTCATTGTCTGAACAACTCTTCTTTCTCTCTGAATATGTCTTCACCATTGATGAATGTGAGTTCAAGGTTTGTGTATTCTTAACAATTTCGTAAATTTTAAACTATTGTCTTGTACTTTCAAATTAATTTTCTTATTTTCCTGAATAAGGTATTGAATGCAGCTTGTCCCTTCATTTATATAAGTCAAAAACTGGTGAGCATATAATAATCAAATTTTGCAAATACTAAGAGCTGCCACCAAATACAAATAGATATTGAAAGATATAGTTGTATAGAGGGAAATACAGTGAGAATGTTATAACAAACACAAGGTTAAACCCTCCCACTAAAATGGTCATTTTAAGGATATTTTTCCCATCCTGACTTCATTTGCTGCTATCAATATATTAAAAACAACAAGAAGCTGATTTTTAGGCGCCCTGTGAAGATCCTGTTCTCTGGTCTGGTTGATTTATCCTGATGGCGTGAGGATAAGCCTTTGAGTCAGATTCGGCAAGCTTTTGTTTTATATCCCAACCTAAGAAAAATATAACCTCGTCAACATTCATATTTTTCTTGGCACTAGTTTTTAATAATTTAATGTCATATTCATCAGCAAGTGCTTGACCTTTGGATGTAGGAATAACCCTTTTGCTTTCGTCCATGTCAGCCTTGTTACCGATCATAATTTTGTTGACACTGTCGGAAGCATGTTGTTTAATTTTTCTAATCCAGTTGATGATGTTGTTAATATATGACTCATAATTAGTTACATTGTATACCAGCAATATACCCATGGCTCCATGGTCGTAAGCAGTTTCTAATTATTCTGAAGCACTACTGACCAATGGCATCTTAAATTAGTAGTTTAATTCGTTCACTATCAAGCTCTATGGTTCTTATCCACACCGCTGTTGCGGATCAATAATAGTTTGATGAGGTAATCGTAATCAACTCGAGTTGTAGTGGGTGGAGCGACTATTAAAGTTTTTTCTCAGGAAATGATGAAGGGGAGCTCCAACCCGGGATCAGAGAAGAGTGAAAGGGGAAGAGAAGAAAGATATGAAATATGTTTGAGCTGAATAAGGTATAAAGACTGCACCCATACAATATTTTTTTACTTTTAAGGAATAAAGTACGCAAGCACTCTTGCTCTTTTAATGGTTTCCAAATGAATCTACCTTATGTGCTTTAGATACATATAGAATTTTGCGGAAAGTCGTACTCGATGAAAGTTGTATGCACGAATTTTAGTCAAATCAATTTCTTTCTATCTTATGACAATGGTCACAACTGCTGATAGCTTATGCTTTCTGGTTATGCATCAAAAGGTCAAATCTTCTCTGTAGGAAATATTTCTAGCAATTTTCTTCTATATTATTGATCAAGTAATGGTATTCATTCTGCTTGAAATATCTTATTAGACTTCACACATAGGGAACTAATGTTTAAGAGTCTTCACATGCTAAAATACTACTCACTTATTACAGAATGATGGCTTAACTTAAACACCATAACTTTCCTGTTTATTATATTGTTTTTCGATCTCTGATATATCCGTTTTCTGCGTGCATGCAATATTTGATATCTACCATTCTATAATAACTCTCGTAAATTTAACAAAAGTTTGCGTCTCTTGAGCAATTCTTATAGGGGTGGTCGTGTGAATAAACCAGGGAGCATGGCAGCCATCTTTGAACATTTCAACTGTCTTAACAAGTATAGGTTTCTTACTAAGTGAGCCAAATCCTGATGATGGGTTAATGCATGACTTGGTGAGTTAATATTCTTGTACTGTGGTTACTTATACTAGAACCTATCCTGTTTGATTGTAATGTGCTCGTAATCTCTATTGTTCGCAGAGAACAGAGTACAAATACAATCGGCAAGCATTTAACTACAAGGCAAGATCAATGACTCAAAAGTACGCCACGGCTGGAGCAAGTGAATTTGGGAGTCATGACCAAAGAAATCCAAACTCTTACAAATGAAAGAGATGGAATGTTCATTCTGCTGGATGTGCCACCAAGATTAATCCACATGCACCAGCTGTACATATGCTATATTTTTATTTTCTCATTTTCAGAATTTGCTAAAACTAATTTCGTACAATTGGTAAGGGGCATATATTTTAGTGATGTGATTCCTCTTTTCTTTGTAATTAACAATGTAATTTTATATGAATGTGGGTTATTTTGATATATTTTTGGATGTGTATGTGTATATACACACATGTATGCTAGTTTTTGAAATAATAGTTACTATACAATTACTATAGTGAAAATTTTAAATTTTTATCTAATTATGTGTGTTAAAATTTCTCAGTAGGATAGGGAAATTGTCAAATAATTGAATGAGCATGAGCGAAGGAAAATTTAACAATTAGCGTAGGGTAAACCGGTCGTTGAAATGAAAGATAACAACCGGAATTTTTTCCATCGCTAAAGGATCTTTAACGACCGGATTCAAAATTCGATCGTTAACTTTACCGAATTCAAAATCCGGTCGTTAACTTTCAACGACGGAGCTTTTAGTGACCGATGACGACCAAATATTTTCCAGTCGTTATTGACCTATAACGACCTGATTTGGACTTTTGTATGTTTTTAAATACATTTGAGTTATTATCTACTGTTTAAATCCGGTCGTTAACTTTCAACGACGAAGCTTTTAGCGACCGATGACGACAAATATTTTCCAATCGTTATTGACCTATAACGACCTAATTTGGACTTTTGTATGTTTTTAAATACATTTGAGTTATTATCTACTGTTTTAAAAGCTTTCTCTATAATGCATCTTTATTGTTGCTTTATATTGAACTGAGTTGAGTACTTCTGAGTTTGAGTATCTTTGAGTTGAGTTGAGTTGAGTTGAGGTGAGTATGTTCTTCCTTTTTATCAGTTCAAGCTTATGGCTGTGCTTTAGAGTTTCCCTTGCATGCTCGTACATTCCATGTACTGACGCCATTTGACCTGCATCTTTCATGATGCAGATACAGGTAACCAGGGTCATCAACGACAACAGGCGCTCCGTTGATACCATTTGCAGTTCCAGAGTTGCTTTGGTGAGCCTCCTTGCTTCCGAAGGATTTCGCTTTTATTTTCAGTCTTATTAAGATGTTGTGGGTCTTGTCCCGACGTCTATCATAGTTATTAGAGGCTTCATAGATAGTAGTAGTTGAGGAGTCTTTTTTATTTACTTTGTGATGTTTAAAGACTTGAGTTGAACAATTATTTTATTGAGTATTTCAGACTACATTGAGTTAAACTAATTTTAGTAATGATGTCTTTATGAGTTGAGTTACATTTGAGTTTCCTTTATTGTTGAGTAAGTCTTCCATTGAGAGTTGAGTCAGGGCAAAGGTTCGCTTGGGGCCATATAAACTAATTTTAGTAATGGGTTGTTTTGAAAGCAAGTTTTAATTTCTTTACCGATTTGGCACCACAATTAACTCAAGTTGGCCATAAAAGCAAAAAATCATCCAATCTTATGCAAAGTGTAATCATCACTATATATGTAGAATAAATATACATAATTCCAATTACTAGTTAATAATAACGAGAGGGGGGGAAAATAGAAAACAAATTTTTTTATTCCCATGCCACTATTAAGCTATTACTTAGCTTCATGAACAATAAGTTAGTAATATTCATATTTATTTGTACTACAACTGTCCTTAATTAGTACAATTTCTTAAATTTGGAGTAGTTATTGATTTATTGTCGTCTCTAAAGCAGCTTCAAAAACTAAACTGTGTAGATAGTTGTGTTTGTATCCTCGAGAAGATGAAGTTTGTAACACAAATCAAGCTTATCATCAGTTGACTTTTCTATACTGTTAAATGAAGTTACAATTGATGGCAACAATGCACAAACATAAAAAGAAAAAGAAATTAGAATTGCAAATTGGAGCAAGTTTTTTACCTTATAAATAATGAAATTAAATGCTCAAATAATCACTTCTACCACTTCAAAGAAATTGCATTTCCAATCTTGAAACAATGTTCTAGAATCAAGGGAGTATATATCAATTGAGACAATTTGTAGTTGCGAGTTGGTTCTTCAATAACTAAAACAGATTTCCAACAACAGAGTAGCAATAAGATGAATATGGAAGAATGAGAGACTTAAAGATTAGATTTTTGTCACACTACTTCAAACTTCCTACCCTTGTAAAAAAAAGAGAGTCCCTCTTAATTCCATACTTCCTAAACTGCAAATAAAGTGAACTTCTTACCATCCAAATAAAAAATTTTAGACACAATATTTTATTTTTTTTATGACAAGGGAAATTCGCGATCGCTATCCTTTGGGTACGCACAGGGTAAAACTCTGCTCCTATGGAATAGCTTAGAAACATATGGATATGAAAATAATTCAAGTGCAAGCTGATGGGGATAAAACTTCGTCTCTTCCTTTTTTCTGCGTTAAATTGAAAGATAATCCAAAAAGCTAATTCAGTTCTTTATAAACTTAATGGTCTTAAAATCGAGTAATGTATCATAATCTAATTTGTCGGGTCCGTGCTCAGTTTTCCTACCTTTAGTACCAAATCTCCATAAGCAACCATATATTATATTGAAGTTTGGTTCGTTTTATTTTTTTGTGATTGATTTGTTTTTTGCTTTTCGAAAAAGGGCAAAAAAATATTCTTGAACTATAGGAAAAAGTGTAAAAATACCCTTATCTTTTGGTCTAAAAATACTCTTCTATTAATCTTTTGATCTAAAAATACTCTTCCATTCATATTTTGGCTCATTTATACCTTTGAAGCTAACAATCCTCTCTTTATTTTATTTTTAAAAAATTATTTATTATGTGCCATTTTCTTATTGGAGGTAATATAACCCACTTCTACTAGATTTTTTCTACTCTTCAAGACCCAAAAAATAATAATTAATAAATCTAGTGTTTTTTTTTTTATATTTGCTATAATTTTTTAAAGTTTGTTTTGTGGTCACGAAGAAGAATATTATTTTGACTTGGATAAATTATGAGGAAAAAATTAAAAGATATTTTGAAAAAACTAATTGTTTTATGTATTTGTTGTAGCTTATTTTTTTTGGAAGACATGAAGCAGGTATATTATTTTGAATTGGATCAATTATGGAGAAAAATATACAAAGAATTTTTTAAAAATATCTAAAGTTACAACAAAACATATTTCGATAATTTCAAAAATATTGCTGCACATACTTATATTCCATTTAGACAAAAAGAAAATCAATCTTGTAAGAATCAAAGTAATTTTTTTAATACCGTATTAGCTTTCTTTAATTTTCATTTCATGAAATTTGAATAGTTTTCTTTATTTTTACCATAACATTAATTTACAGAAAGGAAGGTGCAAAAAAAAAAAAAAATTACTTAAAAAGTTTTTATAGATTTTTCTCATAATTTATTTAAACCAAAATAATATATCTTCTTCATGACCTTAAAAAATTAAAAAGAAAAAGCTATAGCAAATAAAAAAATTACTAGTTTTTTTGAATTTTTTAAATTATGGGAAAAAATCTAATAGAGATGGGGAATTTATTTCATCTAATAAGAAAATGAAACATAATAACATTTAAAAAAAGAAAAAAAAAGAAAGGGTTGCTAGTTTCAAGGTATGAGCGAGCCAAAAAGGTGAATGAAATGATATTTTTAGACAAAAAAGATGATTAGAAAGATATTTTTGTGGATGAAGGGTTTTTTAGACCTTTTCGCATAGTTCAGGGTATTTTGGTCCTATTCCGTTTGTTTTTTAATGGGTCTTTGAATATTCATTATGTCATTTAGGATTCTTCTCAGATATCAAACTACATCAACTCATAATTGAAGCCCACAAGAAAATCAAGAAAAATAACATATGAAAATTAGAATTTCATGAATCAAATCTAAAAAAGAAATTGAAGAGGAATTCAGAAGGACAACAAAAAATTACCTCAAAGTTGCAGCGTACTTGGAGAAGATTGAAGATGAAAATGAGTATTGGGAGAAGCTTGAAGACGAACAATTGTGGAAAACAAAATATCTATGAACAATAAAAAACAAAGGGTGATTTTGAAATTTGAGTTCACTTGAGTATCCAAAATTCAGAATCAAATTTCGCATTGAAGAACAAAAAAAACACTCTCATATCTCCTTTTCCCCTTTACTTATTACAACAAAAAGTACCGGATAGAAATTGATTAAAATTCAAAAACAAGAAAAGAGGAAAGGAAAAGGAAGTGCATAGCCACGTGTTACAATGTGGTGGCAATCAAAATCAGATGGCACAATATTGAGAACTGAGCAGTTAATGAAAATGACGATAATATCCTTTCTAAATTGAAATTTGACATAAAGCACACACATGTTGATACCAACAGAGTGACTGACTCTTCTAATTTATCTATACTAGCAAGGCAAGCCCGTGCATCGCACGGGCCCAATATGATTAATAAAGTTATTTATTTTAGCTAAATATATACAAAAGGTATTTCACCTATCATTATTTCAACTATAATATTGTATACAAAATGCATTTCACATATCATCACTTGAAATATAATTACACAAACTTGGCATTTTGAAAATTATATAATTCACCTTCTAAACTTATACTAAGTCTGTTTTGAGCCATTTCAAACCAATCTCCATTTGAAATCTCAAACGCATGTAAATGGAAACCTCTTGAAGTTCTTCTCTTATGACATGCAACCTGCAAATATGAAATATAAGATTTTAAAACCAACCAACGGTTATGAATTTTCTTGCTCGAAAATGTGGAAGACCGGGTAAAAGCATAGTCTATTTTCACATACTTCAATAACGAAGGATGCTAAAAGCCATGTACATAAATGTCTATTATACACCTAGCAAGCTTTAAAGAAAACCTAATAGAAGAAAAAAAAGAGAGGAAGAGAGTGCTTACATATGCCGCAAAGTGGCATTATATGCCATGCTCCCTAAGGGACACTGAACCATCTCTCAAACCATTGTCTGATGGTGTTTTTACAAGAACAATAAGAGTCAAGATAACGCATGTGGTATTTCAAATGCTATTGAATAATTATGCAATATAGGATCACCACACATAATTTGAATCACACCATTCGTTAGATGTCATTTGATCGTACGTGGAAAAGTAAGCTTGTAGGACTTATATTAATAATCGAGGATTTAAAAAAAAAAACACATCACAAGATTAAATAAAACACAGCAGAGAAGGTAAAGCATAGAGAAGCAACTAACCCAAGGCACAATTAAAACAAAAGGGATGTATGCTTGAGAAAAAGATCAATAGAAGCAGACCATATAACAAATAGTAAGCAAGTTGATCCATTTATAGGAAATGAAATGAGTGAAGTGGGTGAGTATCTCACAGAGAAGTGAAAGAAATGGACCTCATTTGATCACTTAGATAAAAATTTATACAATTAAAAGACCATTGAGCGAAACAGGAGTGACAATACTGATGAAATCTTAAACGGGAACTAAAAAAGCTAACCAAAATCTCGAGCCACCGACTGTGCAAATTGATTCAAGGCCTCAGATGTAGGGTTTGTGTGGTGGTTGTTGGTGACCTATGGATGGGAGCTTTTTTCTGTTTTTGGTAGTTTATGGTTGATTGAAGGAAAAGATGTGGTGGTACTTATTAGTGGAGTTTGTGAGGTTAAAGTGGAATGTTGCTGATTAAATTTGATCATAAATGTGTCGGCACTACGTAGCAAATGAAGCATGTGTGCACTTATAGTATTTGATGCAAGTAAATCACTCAAACAGTTTTAGCATTTTTCAATAGTTAAAATTTAATAAAAGATAATTAAATTTTCTAAATATATCATTAGAAGGATTGTCTTATCGGAAATAGCCTCTCTACCTTCATAACTCATAATATGTTATTGTATCGTTAGAAGGATTTAAATCAGCATCAGACATGAATGTACAAAATGCAACTTTAAAGATTTGACAGGAACTTTCTATTCAATTACTATGCATACAAATAATGATCTTGGATGCACTACAAACAATCAAACATGACATGAAACTAAAAGAGAATGTCCAGGAAATTAAGAACTCTTAACACAGTAATAGTCACGATATGACACAGTAACACAAGATCGTCATGCAGAGATTATACTTGTGCATGACAGTTTAGGTGACATTTCAGTGGTGTTTACCTTAGAAACGTATCCACAATCCTCAAAATTTGGCCTCAGCTCTTGCATCACAACAAAAGCTAAGATTTTAAACCTTGAAGTTTAGCTCATATCGAACAAGTCACAGTAACTCATGTTTGAGTAGCTAACTTCTTCAAGTATCGTATCAAAAAAAGACAAACTTTACCAAATTAGATGAAAGACCAGGAAAATAATTCAGACACATAATGTAACTATTATTTTAACATGAATTTGCATGGGTGTAGGTATTGAAACTTGATCCACATTCATAAGTCAACTGGAGTGATCATTATTCCCTAAAAGTGGATAACAAAATGTTCTGCAGAAAAAAATTAAATCAAAACAATTACATTTTCTTTTCAAACTCGCTTTTAGTACCGATAGAAAATTCTGGTATTAATTAATTTTAAGTTTGAAATGAGGTGAAAATTTATGCGAAGTAATCAATGCAAATTTCAAAACCTGTAAAAAACTCTTGTTGTACATATGTTGCAATGGAGATAACACAAAAGGGAAAGAAGAAAACTGAAGAATGTCAACCAGCAAGAGGCGTAAATAGTTGGCAACTATTGTGGGGGTTATATAACTATACCAACAATTATATGTAGTACCTCTGTCGAAGCATATTAAATCAATGGCTTTGATTCTCCTATCTACAACATGGTTGAGATATCTCACACTGTCCATTTTGCAAGATGTAGAGAACAGGCCACAAACTCACAAAAGGGCTAGTTTAACTCTGCATCTGTACCTACAAACAACCAAAAGAAAAACTATGTCCACTATAAATGAATGCTTTTGAGATACTGAAAGTGGTTCATCATAAGCAGAAGGTGTTGTTTGTCCTTCTAGACCAATGTTTTCACTAACCTACATTGCCTTAAGTATGAGAGTTGCGTCAATTGCATCATTTACTACTTCAACGTCAAAGTGCTCTGCCAAAAGTCGTTGACTCATAGGAAGAGACGGTACATTTAGTTTCTTGCATTTTACTTCTAATGACATATTTCTCATCATCTAGAACACTTTATTCTTCCTTTTCTTAATCCTTTACAGTGTATTTACATAAGATTATATACTTAATGATCAACAACAACCTATTCCTGATAAAACAATATATCTTTTCTCAATTATTTAAATTTTAGGCATAGTTTGTAATGCTTGAGAACTTCCAATAGCGACATGAAAGTACAAAATCTTAACGACCTAGAACCACTAATACAACTCATTTAATAGAAAAAATGTGAGAAACAATCACCTTCGATAGACCTTGATTGAGTAGAAACCTGTCACTATATTTTGACAACCATTGTCTTAACCATGGCAACTCCTAAAGATCCTCCAGTTGAATTATAATTGAAACCGCAAGAAGAAGAATATCTCTGCAACAATTTAAAAAAAAAAAAAGGTAAATTATGCAACTTTTATAAGTAAATAATTGACTCGAGAACTTGTTTCGAATCTCTCCAAATTTTGATGAAAGGTTGTAATTTCAACGGCACCTTATTGTTTACTTGATTTACACTAACCTATAAGTTAAATAGAAAATACACTCACCATAAATTTAAAAATAAGTCTTGCAATTTCATCAGGAAAAAGTATAAGCACAAAGGGCTAAGAAGTGCAGTGCAGCTACTGCTAAATCGTCAAAAAGTAAAAAGATAAGAAATGAACATTTTCCTTTTCAATCATGAATAAATTGAATGATATACGATATTTCTTTGTTAGTGCTAAATCATCAAAAATAGTTGATAAAATATAAATGCATTACTGACCTTTAGGAATGTAGTTGACATAGCCTTCCTCTATTCTCTTTGAGTTTTTCTTATTGCCATTGACGACTATAAAATTGACACAAAAACAGTCAATAAAGATATGCATGTGAAAAATAAGTTAAGAAAAGATTCAAATACTCAGGAAATTTCATAAAAATACGACATTTTAGATTCTCATTTCTGTTTCACAATAATCTTTGTCTTCCTAAAAGATTCTCACGGATATTAGACCAAAATCAAAATCCTAATTTATGCAATTGAAACAACACCAAATCCATAGGAACTAAATGTAGTTGAATATAGATATCACGGGAGAGAGAAAATAGAGAGCATGACTAAAGAATAAATCAGTGAAGAAGAAATTGAGAAATCACCCAACTTGGCTCTGAGTGGTGAAAGAGAATGGAGAACAAAATAGGAGAAACAAAAGTAGTCCAAAACTAATAATTTGCTTTAAAAATAATCAGTGTAAACGTGTTGACAGAGAAAGAGCATCAAATCAATGTCCAATAAAATAACCCCAAATTTATTGTACACTTTATAAAGCTTATTGTACAACCAATATATGTTGTGTTGGTCCTCTACGTTGTTGGCTTATATAAAAGGGTAATATAATAGGAGAAGAAAAAGTGACGCATGTCAGCACCACAAAAATTCTCCATTATTTAGTTTTAAAAATTTAAAATTTAAAATAATTTTAATTTGCATTAGTTATTAAATTTAAATTGTAAAATTTGAAAAAATCAATAGATACGTTTTTTTAAAAAAATTAGAAAGTTACCACAATTAATATAACTCTTTTCTATTCTTTTTATTTTTTATTTTAAAAAACAGATTAAATTTTAATGTTAATTTTAAAATTTGAAAAAACCAATAGATATTTTAAATGATTTTTTTTTAAATTAGAAAGTTACCACAATTAATATAACTCTTTTCTATTCTTTTTATTTAAAATAAAAAAATATCTCCTATTTTTAATTTAAAATTTGAATTTCAAAACACAAGTAACTAACCTTATCCTATAAAAATAACCACGACATCTTCCAAAAAAAAAAAAAACTATTGCCCACAATTCTATCAACCCACTTTTTCATAAAATCTATTATTTACAAAACTATTCTCGTTTATGATGAGGTTAATGACTTGAGTTTAAGTGATTTCTTGGTGATGTAACTGAGCAGTGTCATTCATATCAGTTTGATACAAAGGTAAATTTTGTTAGTGAAAATAGTGATGTAGTTTGATTTCTTCATTTTTTTTTTATTATATAATTGCATGTAATTGTAGTTATTTTTTGAATTATGAATACGAAGGTGAACAATGATGAAAAAATTATAAGGAGTATTTTAGGATAAATTTCATGAAGCAGTTTGACGAATTTCTTTTTAAGTAAACTGGCTATCTTTTACTCACTTTGAATTTATTTGGACAATTTCACATTGTTTGTGTTGATTTTCGACATGATTGTCTAGGATGAGGAAAGTGTTAGAAAAACATGAAGTTAATTTAGTAATTTATGTCGTTTGCTATTCCAACGTTTTACCTTACTGGTGATAGTTGAGAAGAAATTCTATTTGAAAGTCCTACTTTTAAAAAAAAAACAAATTGATATTGATAATTACATGTAACAGGATTATACAATAAAATATATTTTATTTTATTTTTAAAAAAAAAGTTAATAGTTTTAAAAGTTACTTAAATTAACTTTTATTAAAAGAATTCTATTACTTTATAACTTAAAAAAAATAGAAATGAAAAAAGAAAATCAAAAACACGTTCTGTATAAGGCATTTTAAATGATTAAATAAGTAAATAGGAGAACTGCCCACTAATTAAAAAAACTATTAAATTAAGATATAATTTATTAACTTTTTCTTTTAAGGTTTTCTTCGAAATTCAAAGTCATACAATTATTAATCAAAATGATTATAATTAATTTACTCCTCCCTTATAGCAAAGAAAATTGCAGATTGTTGACACTAATTTTTAAAACTTAGAAATAAATTTTAACTAACATATTTTTCGAGGACTCTATTTTTGTGAAAAACTATCAAATTTTTTAATTAAATATTTAAACTAACTTTCCACACTATTTTTTATAGCAAAAAAAAAAATCCAAATTATTTAAGCACTTAGGAATTTATTTTGCGGAAAGTTTGAGCAGTATAGGACTCTATTTGCGGGGAATGAATACATTTAAATAACAAAAAATAAAATAACTTTCCATAGCTACTCATTCTTTATAGCAAAAATAAAACATAATTGTTTAGGACTCTTTTTTGGTGAGAAGTTATCAATTTTTTCAAAGTAAATATTTAAACTAAATGATATGTTAATTAATAACATAATTGGAATTTCAAATTATGTGAACACAATTAAATATGAAAATTGGGTAATTAAATTTAAATTAATTATACACTATATATATATGTTGAAGGAGAATCTGTAACAAAAAGTAAATATTAAAAATCCTAAGTAAAACTGAATTTAAGAATATGTCACACTACATTTTTAAGATAATGCTCCATAAAATTAGGAATAAAAAGAATATTTGAAAAAGAAAATTGAAAAAAAAAACGCTATTTAAGAATTTAGTAATAAATATGTAATTATTTAAACATGATTCTGTTCTCCCATTTTTCTTTGCATGATCTCTCATGTACATTAACCAACAAACCGTTTGAAACATTCAAATAGGGATGGGGTGTCCCTGCAAAATATTTTCACACACTTAACTTTTTTAAGAAACACGGTGATCATGCGCAGGGAATAACTTGACTATTAGAAGTGATTACAATTTGCATTATCATTTTAAACAAATTCATGTGGTCTATTTCATATTGATACCCACGTAATTTTATTTTAATTAACAATAGTTGTTTTTGAATTTGAATTTAAAGTTGTTACTTAAAATTGTTCTACCCATTATCTCTATTCTCTATATATACATAAATAAATTTCAATCAAAAAAATTAATGGGTCTATTCTTCTTCAAATGTGTAATGTTATTTATTGAATTATTATTTTCATTCTTCTTATAGTCATCTTTTTTGGGGGTGAAAGTCCAAGAATAAGAAGAAGAACAATATTTATCAAAGTGAAAATCTTCTACACATTATGACGATATTTTTAGATCTATAATATCTTATTATGATTTTTTTAGTTCCTTTAATTCAATTTGATTTGTTTCTATCATATTTTGTACTTAAATTCTTTAAATCGAATGAGTTTCTATGTTTATCTGATTTACATTTGTAATTGAGATTAATTTATCTGACAGAATTTCTTGGTATTTTACTTTTTTTTTTAGTAAAAATCTAAAAATGTTCTATTAATTAACTTTATTCTTTTGTGTTTTGCAGATTTTTGTACAATGGAAACTCTAGGATTGTAAGTAATATATAGCCAATATTGCCTATATTGCTTTGCCTAAACAGATTATAAACCATGTAATTAGTTATTTTATAAACATTTGATGATTTTTACGATAATTAATGTTTTTTTTAGAATTGTATGTTATTTTTATTCAACTTTATTGAAGTTAATATAATGCTTTCTTAATTCATTATTTATTTAATTTATAATATTCATATGGTGTGTCTTTTTGCATATCGATTATTTTTAAGACTCATATAGAATAAGTATTTGAGTTGAATACTTCTATTAAACAAATGTTATCTACTTAACACTCATACATAGCAATCCATAAAAATAATACTAGAGTTTTTTATTTATTTATTTGAATTAATTTATTTTAACTACTTTTAAATCAAAATAGCTTTTATGTTTTATATAATGGTTGGTTTAACTAAAAAAAGTCCTTTATAATGGTTGTGATTATAGTAAGATAAAAATTTAGATATTTTCTACTTATTTTTTTTTTAGATCAAATGAGTTTCTGTGTTTTTTTTGGATTACAAATGTAACATTTGATGATTTTTACTATAATTAATGTTTTTTAGAATTGTATGTTATTTTTATTCAACTTTATTGAAGTTAATATAATGCTTTCTTAATTCATTATTTCTTTGTTAATTTTTAATACAGATCATAAATACTAACATGATTTTTATTATAGAATTCTTATTGGTCATATCTTCACATATATTAAAATGCTTTTATATGTGCAATTGAAAAATTACTATGCTGGAATATATGATAAACTTTACAGTCTTGAATATGGGTGCAAATCTATACAATATTTATCAATTTATGTGTATATATGTATATGTGTGTCACAGCAATGGGTGAGGACATCAAATTATTAAGTGAAATATTAATATAATAATGATGCTTAACATGTTTTGAACGATATAAATGGTTAATATAATAATGAAATGACAATTGTGATTTTACTAAATCTCTATAATCTAATTTGTTTAAATAAGTCAAATTATATGATTTAGACATTTTGTATTTAAATAATATTATCCGTGTTGTGCGGGTACGAATACTAGTATGGTAGAAAAGAAAAAAATTATGGCTTAATTTTATGAATAATCTACTATACTCAAATTTTAAATTGAATGTGAATTAATTATATTAATTTTAAGGCAAAAGAAAAAGAATCAAAACAATTAAATAAGACGAGCATAGAAAATAAGATGAAAAAGTGTGAGTTATGGATATAATTTTTTAAAAATAAAATAATTAAATATAATGAGAAAAAAATCAAATAAATAAATAAGAATCTTTCATCATAAAAATGTATCACATTACGCGGACACATGTGGTGCATGACTGTCGTTAGCTCGTGCCATAAGGTGTTGGGTTAAGTCCCGCAACGAGCGCAATCCTCATGCCCAGTTGTTGGTTCCAGCACCCAAGGGAATGGAGTAGGCCATAATAAGAGCACTCATACTATCTCTGACAACACCACCTTATACGCTTTCATGACAATGAAAAAGGCAAACATTAACTAAGATATATTTTAATTCATATGTGCATAGATATTCTTAAAGTTATTTAGTTTAAACCCTAATTGTAAGGAGATTATTATTTTATAACTAGTATACGTGTTCGCGTGTTGTGCCTAGATTATTAAAAAATATTTAATTGTTTGAATGCATTACACTGTTTTGATTTTATAAAAATATAATTACCCTCTTGTTTTCAATGCAATGTGCTTAATAACACACATTTTATATAGGCTTAACCACTTAAGTTATCGACGGCCCCTTAAAGTTGTCTCCATAATTCGTTTAAACATCTCAATTAAAACTTGTACCTATTGAACACCTATGCCCCTTAAAATTAATATCTATTTTATATTTTTTTGATAATCAACCAAAAATATAAGATGTGTGTAATACACTCGCAATGACATGGCGATGTGATGAATTAAATGATGACATTTGACATTTTAGTCCAAAAAATTATTTAAAAAATGAAATTTTAAAAAACAATTATTTTAGTCTATTTAACTAATTA